ATACAAATGAAGCTAGACGTTAAGGGCAATGTTTTTATACGTATTTCGACTTATAAAGCCGGCAGAGGCCCATGTCTTTACCTGATTAATATGACGTAAATTGGGCGTTGTTATTGAAAACAAACTATCAAACGCGCCCATCATATAGTGGCTGATCGTCACGTTATTTATCCCGACAGTCGATTTTTCTTTTACCAGCATCATCCTTCGCTTTCATCTCATTTGTCCGACATTTTTTAGTGAATTACAAGTCATTTAGTCAATTTCGTGCTTTGCTACGTTTAGTAGTAATTGTTGCCTTTAAAGGGGTATAAAAACAAAGACTTTTTGATCCCTTCCGCTTGTATATTTTTGTTTCTTTGAACTTGCAGCTCTACAATTCCATTGGTTGATCTTTATCTCTATGTATCTTATCAACGTCAATTAGTTTTCCTTTTATTTCTAGCGCTGCAATTTCACTGATCTCTTTCGTTTGTGTATTTTTCAACGTCAGCTGGATTATCTTCAATTTTCAGCTCTCTGCGATTCTATTGGTTGATCTCTTTCTTTTGTTTATTTTCTAACGTCAGTTGGGTTTTCTTGCGTGACTTGCCGAACCTGCAATTCCATTGGTCAATCTCTTTCTCTGGTTTATTGGTTTATGTTCTCTTTGCAACTCTGCAATTCCATTGGTTGATCTCTTTTTTTGTCTATTTTTCAACGTCACTGAGTTGGATATCCTTTAATGTATTGCAGCTCTGCAATTCCATTGGTTGACCTCTTTTGTTTGTTTAGTTTAACGTCAGCTAGATTTCCTTCAATTTATTGCAGCTCGGCAATTCCACTGGTTGATCTTTTTCTTTTGGTTTATTTTTCAATCAACGCCAGTTGGATTTCCTTCTATTTCAGCCGAGCCTGCGATTCCATTGGCTGACCTCTTTCTTTTTTGTTTATTGGATTATCTCCTATTTGTTACAGTGCAATTCCATTGGTTGATCTCCCTGTTTTGTTTACTTTCCAATGTTAAATGAATCTCCTCCCATTTTCAGGTCTGCAATTTCATTGGTTGTCGCCAACTTGTCGCTTATCCTTCGCAACGTTTTGTTTATTTAGTGACGAAGGTAACACAACAAATATCGATATCCCACGTTTTTCTTGCGCCTCGTCTTGTCCAATTTCATGCGATTTGGTCCATGCACGTACTTGCTTAGCAACAAAGCTGCGACAAAACAAAACAACGACAAAATTGCATGGTCAGTTTGTTTTTGAGACCGTTTTAACGGTCAGGAAATGCTTTTGGCTGTGAATTCTGACGAGCAAGTACTAAAGAGAAAATTATGGACGCAATTTCGACCATTACCTACACAATATAATAACAAAAACCCAGATAAAAGAGCCCTTGTATTGCATGTCATCACTTCAAAAACCAATTCTTCATTCTACCCTCGGCTGAGAATCGCGAAGTTTTTAATTTTTTCTTATACCCCTTACTCTTTAGGTCATAAGAGTGACCAAATCAAGTTTCTTCCTAGGCCTAACGATGTCAGTGCATTATCAAAAGAAAAGGTTGAGAGAACATATAACATGATCGCTCAAGGGAAAATTTTTTGACCTTTCATCAAATTCTCTCGACTAATTTGGATTGTGGATTAGGGCCAGACTCTTACCCAGTCGCTTCTCTGTATGCGCTGTGATTGATGGGAAGGATTAACGAGTTCGCGGTGCAGTTCATAAAAGTATTGGAGACAATGGATGGACTTAAAGGCGGAGCCTCACCATATTAAATTTTGTTGAGTGCCTCCACGTGGCAACTTGTCAGATATTTGGTTGGTCTTATCTTTTCGATTCCTTTTAAGGTGGACGCAAATACAGGAGTACTCTCTGTCCAACACTTATTTGATACTCGTGGGGAACAAATGCGATATGGAAAAGGACAGAGCTGTGACTTATGAAAAAGAAAAGCGACTTACTGAGCAAACTGGACTTGAATTCTTTGAGACCAGCGCTAAGGACAATGTCAGCGTACTTCGGGTGTTTGAGCGTCTAGTTGAACTTATGATGAGTGACGCAAATAATGACAATAACAAGGATCGTTACAAAATGCTAAAATGCTGGCGACTTGCAGCCCAAAAATTAACTACAAATGGCGACAAAATTATTGAGACACCGTGGTAAAACAATTTCAAAGAACAAAATTAATAAAACAGTTTGCCCCGTTTCCCCAACCTCAGTTCAATGTTTCAGGCGGCTTGCATTGCACACTGGAACAACGTTTTTAGAGGGGCTAGGAGAAGTTTCCTTTATTTTTATCAGTCTTTTTGAAGCCGTGACGGATAGTACCGTCAAAACCGCCCTGAGCTGTAGTAATTTTTTCAGCGATCTGAGCTCCAAACTTAAAGGAAGATTCCAGGAGGTTTCAAGCGGAGAAGATTTACGCGATTTTTTTTCCCGGTTAGTTCCTGAATCGTAGAATCCCGATCCCAGACGATACCTGAGCACAAAGAAAGCCAAACCAAATAAAGGAAAATAACCAGAAAGCCTCGGGGTCAGGTAAGAATTTTAATAGATCAAGGGCTATTTATTAAGCGTCCCTCCCCCGGCGTAACCCTTCTTTGGTCAGTTATCAACAAAATGAGAGGGCGGGATTAAAGGTCATAATGAGAATCGACTCACGCTGTTCAATTTGTTAAACAAGTAAATGTAAACAAAATACAGCGTGGGCGTTTAAAACACCAGCATGGAAAGAAAACGACGGGAGGACGTTTAATTTTTCTGTGTGAGATTCCTCTTAACTAATAAAAATTGCCACGTGAAAAGCTCACCAAGAAAACGATTGTTATTCCCTAAAAAAAGAGACGATCGGGACGGCTGGGAATGGGAAAGAAACACTTTGGCGTGAATTTGTAACAACAAAAAAGAAAGCAATTTATTTATATGATTTTCTAAATATAACTTTAAAAGATCGAATGAGATAAAAGTTTCGATTACTTTATATATATTCCTTTGTTGAAACGCCAAATCCCAGTGATATTAAAAAATTAAAACAAATTAGTCGTCGAAATATTCCGGGCAGGTTATAAGCTGAGAGGCCTTCTAAACGTAATTAGTACAAACGTTACTTCGCTAGAAATATTTGTAAACAGTCCGTGTGTTAATTCAGTTACCCTGCTAATCAGTAATCTAGGAAAGATCGAAGCGACTCTGCTAGCAGGGTGGTGTCTAGTAGGAGTCACAGCCATTGGAATCAGTAGACGCACTGAAACTGTAAGAAAAACCGCGTTGGTTTTTCATGGTCATTTTCATTGGCTAGTCTAACTTTTAAGCTGCCGATTTTTCATCAGAAGAGAAAGCAAGAATTTGAAATTACTCACTGATGTAGAGAAAACAGCGCCCACTACTTTTTTCGCGCGAGTGCGCGGGTTTCGTCGACAGGTGAATTTAAAAATTGCTGATTGGTTCTTTCAAAATTCTATTGTGTTTCCTTTATTCTGATTGGTCAGTGGTTACTGATATCCGGGCACTCGCTGTAGAGGAAAAGTGTTCCAGAGAGAAACATGGCGAACGCCAACGACAAACAGTGGCAGAAAGATGCGGCCGACCAGAATTTCGATTACATGTTCAAACTTCTGATCATTGGAAATTCTGCTGTGGGAAAGACATCATTTCTTTTCCGATATGCTGATGATTCGTTCACTTCAGCATTCGTGTCAACAGTGGGAATCGATTTCAAAGTGAAGACGGTTTTTCGAAACGACAAGCGAGTCAAGCTGCAGATTTGGGATACAGGTTAGCTTAAACATGATTTGCTTGTTGTCCTTTCGTTGTCTTCTTATTTTTGCGAAAGTATGACTAACTGACTTTTTTTTCCAGCCGGTCAAGAAAGATACCGGACAATAACAACTGCATACTATCGCGGAGCGATGGGATTTATTCTGATGTATGACATTACAAACGAGGAGTCGTTTCAAGCGGTTCAAGATTGGTAAGATTCCGTGTTCTTTAAATGCATTTATTTTGTGTGATCGTATTAAATATATTAGCAAGTATGGTGTCCTCTGAATATGAATATTTACGGGAAAAAAATGGCAAAAATTGCAACTTTTTGATCGTAAACTTCGTGAGTTGTAAGCAAACCATGTTTTTACGTTTCCTCATTGTTCGTGTTACTTGGTAATCAATTTGAGATCAAAAAAAAATTTCTCAAAGCTTTTCTTTACTGTAACGCTTAATTAAATATCGGTGTAATGAAGCAGTTCCTCAGCGAAACAGGAATTTTCACGAATGGTGACGGTTGTTGTTCGATCGGGTTATTTCCTCGAAACAATTAGAAATTATTTGAAGAATGTAATTTCCATTTCAATCTTTTCATCTCTCTGTGTTGCGTCTTGGTTTTGATCGGATCTTTGGAGCTTCGACACCAGAATTTTATTTTATGACACGCCGGTGTAAACATTTGTTGTGTATGTGTAATGTTTATCGAAATTGTGTTGACCCGTGAGACATCTTCATTTCTTGATGTTTTCTGCAGAAGTCTGCATGTAAATGTGCGCTTCCCGGTTTATGTTTCGGCGTCAATTTACAGTACATTTGAGCTTACTTGCCGTTTCTTTCATTGTCGGACTGAGTTTCCATGATGCGCAACTATAAGACGCAGAAGCTTAAAAACCTATATGTGAGATTTTTTTATTTCCTTAAACTTTATTTAAGATTGTGAAAAAATTTAGTTGCAATATAATTAGTTGCGCCATTAATTAAAAAGAATGCATACGTGTAGTAGTACACATACATTTCAAGGGCAGGTAAAAATGCTAAAGAATCTTGAGTTGCATCATGTTATTTTTAATGTTTCCTTATAAACGTTAAAAGAATTTAGCCATAGGTGACAGGTTCTGGCTGGCCCTTGTTTGCTAGGCTGGATCTTGATATGTTAATATCAATTTTGTGATAACATGACAACCAAGCCAGACCAATAGATCTTTTTACCAATACGGTGGCCATATAGATCGCTTTCACTGTTACGCAACGAAAAATAAATTGAAAACCGTCCATTCGGAGAAGCCAAGAAAATGAAATGTTATAAAAAACTAATATATCAACAATTTGTCCAAGTCTCATGTCTTTGTGGCCCACAATATTGGTGTACAGTTTTGGTGCACCAATATGGCCGCCTTAAATCAACAAAAACATCTGGGGTTCACTTTTTCTATAAAAGGTCTCAAATTATGTATAACAATTTTGAAATATCACTTGTGGTATTTATGCCAAATATCACTACAAATCATGCTATTGCCTACATCAATAATTATTTCTTTGGAATCTCTTTAAAGGTCAACTCAGGTCAAGACTTACTCTTGGTCCAATGCTCAAGTGATACTTGTTGGCAACAAATGTGACATGGAGGAGGACAGAGTAGTATCTTATGAAAGGGGAAAGAATCTAGCTGACCAACTTGGACTGGAATTCTTTGAAACCAGCGCCAAGGAGAACACGAATGTCAAGCAAGTGTTTGAGCGCCTGGTAGATATAATCTGTGACAAGATGTCAGAGAGTCTAGATTCTGATCCTACAATTGTTAGCGGGCAAAAGCCAGGGACAACAAAATTATCAGACAAGCCACCCAAGCCACAGGATAGTGGATGTGCTTGTTAATACATTTTATTATTAATTATATTTGACCAATAAATCTGACTAGGCCTGAGCTAAGATGTTTACCATTTCATTTTGCTTTAGAATAGAGATCCACTGTTGCACAGGGTTTGTACTACTTCTACTACTGCTGACTTACGATAACTTGAACCTTCTAGGGAAATCGAAAAAATTCGAGTTATGGAGAGCTCAAGTTATTGGGACTTTGAAGAAAGTAACCTGAAAAAAGAAAATGAGCAAATGGGATGAGGAAGAAATGCAAGTATCATGCACCCTTCACTTCATGGGCACGATACTGTGTTTAAACTTGACTGACAAAAGACATAGAATACAGGGTTGTTTTTAAGTAAATTCAATGTTTCAGACTACAGTACGCTGTTTTCTTTCCTTTGCACGTGGTAAATCATGGGTCCAGTTAACAAGAGTAAAATTATGTAGAAATAATCTGAAGGGAAACAAAAATTACTTCGAGTTAGCAGGAGGTTTAAGTTATCAAGGGTTAGAGTTACTGAGGGTAAAATTACAGTGAATGTATGAAGGAAATCTAGGGGAAATCGTTTTTTGTTCGAGTTAGCATGAGATTCAAGTTAGCGAGGGTTCAAGTTATTGGGAGTCAAGTGTACTAAATTCTTTAGAGGCTCCTGGAATTTTAAAAATTTCTTTATGGCCTGGGAATACTCCTTGAAATTTCTCTTTTTCTCAACCCACTTCCAGGAAACTTGTGGAATGTAGATGAATGTGGTACATGTAGGTATGAATGGAATGCAGGTGCAAAGGCTTCTAAACATTTTTCCTAGAAAACGTTTATATTCTTGTTTTAGCAAAATTTATTAGATGTAAAATAGCTTGATGAATCTTATGTATCTTCAAAAGTCCTTTCAAAAGTCTCTGGAATTTCACTCTTTGGCAGTAATGCAAACCCCGCCTTCAGAAGTTTAGAACAAAAAATGTCGAGAATTTAAACCTTGCCTTTGTTTCCATGGTTGGCATAATGTGCCCTCCAGGAAATTTCACATAATTTCCCATTGCTAAGTATCAACGTGTCTGTTGATAAAGGGTCAAATGCAATAATTATTACGACACCGTGGTACTGTAGAGGGGAGAGTTTCACTTAAATACAATCATGTGGAAAAGATTATGTGCTGGGTACTTCTTTCGATTTAGATTGGAAATATCGATTTTTTTAAAAAATTATTTATGCAATTTTCATGGAAGACATCTAAACTCAGGCTAGGATATTCTTATTTTAAATTTGCAGAATTGTTTCTGTCTCACTTTAAGTCTGGTTATTGAGACAAGAAGCCTAGTTCATGCATGCTATCATATTCGTAGTCTTTCACTATTAATACATGTATATTTTCATTATAACCCTTTAAGCCCTAAGGGTGTTAAATGTCATTGAAGTTCTCCTTGTTTAAAACAGAGTGGTCATGAGAATTAGGGACATGACCACATGCGAAAAAAATTTATTAAATTGAGTCTTAAATTTCTTCTCCACACTACTGCTTTAGGAAATGTATAGGGACAATAAATGAGAATTTAAGTTGTTAGGGTTAAAGGGTTTATTTCATTTTACCATTTTCTCATGAACCAGAAATACATCTTTACATAGCCTCATCACCCTTGTGGCTCAGTGAAGTCCTGATAAAGATTAATAATGAAAAAAAAATAGTTAAGGGGGAGATTGGTAGTTTGGTAATATTAATCTTGAATTAGAATGTTGCGGTATAATTGCAAATGCATTGGGGCCATATATTGAGCCATTTGTTGTCAGATTTTTCCATTGCAATATTTTCATCTAGCAGCCTTCTAATGTCCCCCGTTAACTTTGCCAAAGTCATCCTTTGAGAAATTGATCAATAGTTTCTTGTCACT